TGCCCGGAGCCTCCCTCCGCCTGTTCTGAGGCTTTCTGAGGGCAGCGCCCTCTGCAGCGTCCGCCCCGGGGCTGTGAGGGCGCGGTACCCGGAGGCGGCACTCGAGGCCTCACATAGGCCGGCACGGCTTAGAGAGGGGGAAAAAAGCGGGATTAAAGTTTTCCTCTTCCAAGAAGAGAAGCAGAAATGCAAAACGTTGGGATAACTAAATGGTAAATACTGAATTAAACACACTTGCTGCCTGGTAGCTGTTCCCTCAAAAAACTCAGTGTTGTGAATTGCAGAAAAGATACTAGATATTTTCTAGACAGGATCTCCTAGATTTTTACAAGTGTGACGTGAAAACAAAGGTTTTAGTTTTCATTTAATGTGTTGTAGAGGTCTGTTTAAATTCTCCGTGAAACTGTTGCTTGATATCCCAAGTTTTATATTCCTTTCGGTGTGGTTTTGGTTTCCTTGTGGAAGAAGCGTGTGAACATATTGCAGAGGTGCCATTGTAAAGGCTTAGATCAGAGCACTGATTTGGTAGTGCTGTAATGCAGGTGCCTTACAAGGCTGATATAGAACCAGAATAACTTCACTTGGAAGAGACGTTCAAAGGTCCTCTAGTTGAACCACCTGCAGTGAGGAGGGGAATGTTTATGTATCCTTTTGGGATGTTCTTTGAACTGTCATCATGGAAAGTCATGCTTGATGCCTTGAATGCTTGAAAATATTTTAGTTCTTTAAAACTTATGATTTGTTAGGTTGTCTGTGATAACTCTAGGCCTGCCTGTATTTAAACAGAGTGATTTGAATGAGCTTGCCCTGCAGTGAAGAGTGTTTAATTTAAATTACCTTACTGGATAGTCAGCCCTTGTAAAGCTGCTCTGAAAGTGACCTGGTTTTCCAGTCCCTATGGGCATAACTGATGGCCTGGCAGTCTGAATGCTTGCTGAAATTTTTCTGCTAGTCTTGTTCATCACATGCCCTCATCTGGACTATGGAAAGCTAGGAAATGAGAACGGCACTGTTGTATTCTGCTTTTGTCTTAGTGTAGTCACTGCAGCATTTCAAAGTGTGATGGTGTGTAGGAGTGGAAGCTGCCTCCCTCAACTCTCACACCTGTGAGTTTATGAACGGGTGACCTCAGAGAGCCACTTATCTCCCCTGGCTGAAGGAGTTACTCTTAGCATTACCAAACTGGCAAGAGAAAGGAGTTGTTTTAACCATTCATGTTTGACTGATGATATACCATTTCTGGCCTACTTGCTTATTGCAAAATATGCTCTTTTATGTGCCACACTTGCCAGTTGTAACTTGTCATTACAGTTCCTGTGCAGCTCACATCTGTGTTTATTAATGGGTTTTGATCCTTATGAGCTGAGAGGTAATTTTGTGGTGAGTGGAAGGAATATTTGAATTGTTGGTGGAATTCATGTGGGTTTTATGTCTTCAAATACACTACATTGTAATAAATGTATTTGCTTGGCATTGAGAACAGTATTTAATGGTAAATCAGCTTCTATTGATCAAGTTCTTCCATAACTGTATGGGGAGACGGAAACTTCAATTTGAATTCATATAGATCTTCTAACTAGATTAAGAGGAAATGCTTATTAAAGTTTAAAAAATTTGTCTACTCTCTGGGCCTAACTTCCTTAGTGTGCCTCGAGAAACTGTTTCTATCTAAACAAAGTGTTGTTTAATGGTGAGCTGATTTGTCACAAGTTTTTATAATTAAAAGGGTTAACTTGATTTTTAAAAAAACTGTAATTGCCCTTTCAGTGTGTGGATACTTTTGTTTGGAAGTGTCTTTCATGCTGGCCCTTACCCTTGGTAGAGCTGGGTGTTAAAGCCTTTCCCCCGTGCTGAATCCTTCTTGTGCATTCAGGGCTGTTCTCCTCTGACACAAGCTTCTTTTAAACACAACGTGGCTTTTCAAAGGGGAAGTGTTAGAGGACTCTCTTGCTGATTTGGTGTCTGTTTCCATGTGCAAAACAAGGCCTTTCAACACATTCCCTGACTCTTCTGAGATACACACAGAGGAACAATCCTATTTATGTAGATGTGGTGCAATTGAGTTTCATAAAGACTTGCTATGGGATGCTGAGGAGCTGTTGCAGCTTACTTGAGCTTTGTCTTAGCTGTATGAAGAATGTTTCTGTTCACTGTTCTACTTTCTAATCCACAGCACTTGTCTTGGAAGGGGCTCAAGAATGATGCAGTAGATGGCAGAATGGCCCTGCAGTCCTTTTTCTGCACAGAAGACTGGAGACTCACAGGTAATATTTTTACAAGAAGTGAAGTATTTATCTTAGAGTTTCTCATTTCATTTATGGGTGAACACTTGAAGAAAAAACCCCAGGCCCTGGCTGTTGGCTCTCAGCAGCTCTAATATGTTACTTTGATTTTGCATTAAGAATGTCTTGGTAAAGTTGCACTATACTTTGAGGTGTGTGGAAATCCATGTGACTTCTTTGCCATCAAAGAAACATCTTCTACTTGAGATACTCCAAATACTCTAAGGAATATGTTCCTCTAGCAACATCTGTACAATAAACAAGAAACCAATGGGCAGGAGTAAATGGCATTGAATGTGCAACAGAGTCAAGACAAATGTGCTGATGGCCATCTGTAGAGCATGTTTGAATAAACTGTTTTAACTGAAAATCAAGGTTTAGCCTGTGGAAGAAGTTCACTCAGCATAATCTCAAGTTTTATCAAGCCTTGCTTTGTGTTTACATCAAATAGCAATATGAACACAGTTTGTGAAAGAAGGTTATGTGTTTATATTTTGTCACTGTAAAACAATCAAGCCCCCAGACTGTCAGCTGGCACCAAACAAGTGCTTTATCTCTGTTATACTCCAACTGTAATTTCTTTAATGCACAAATACATGGTCAAAAAGTGCTGCACTTGTTTTGCAGTATTTGTGTTTGGTGTCTGATATCAAAGGTAAGTTTGTGGCCCATACAGCCCACAAGCTTTTACAATGCTTAAAGTTCACAGAGAAAAGGTATTATATGAAATTTACAGTGTTTATTAGTAGGTTTTATTTTTTTCAGTTTTACTCACCTAATTATTCCTTACTACTTTATGGAGTTTTTAATATTTGGCCAAATAACAAAATTTCTGATGTTATCAGTGTAGAACAGACTTTAATGAGGAAAGGGTGGGTGATTAGTACAGGACTGCCTTCACAAGAGGAAGTGTAACACTAAATATTTAAATGAAACAGCTTCATCTTTAAAAGAAGCTTGTGCAAACAGCTCATAGCTCATACTCCTGAAAAAATGCATTCAGGTGTTCCAGAAGCTGAGCAGAATGCAAATCAAAAATACAAAATCTCACAACCCAACACATCTTGAAAATCTTGGAAGAATTTGGGAAAATCATGTATTAAAGTGCATTCCAAGAGGTTTGTAGTGAGAGGACAAGGGGAAAGGGATTCAAACTGCAAGAGAGTAGGTTTGGGTTGGGTATGAGCAGGAAGTTCTTTGCTGTGAGGGTGCTGAGACACCGAGTGGGTCACCCAGAGCAGCTGGGGCTGCCCCTGGATCCCTGGCAGTGCCCAAGGCCAGGCTGGGCAGGGCTGGGAGGTGTCCCAGGGCAGGGAATGAGACGAACTTTAAGGTCCATTGCAACCCAGGCCATTCTATGAGTAAATGATGCTATATTAAAAGTTGCTGAAAAAAAATGGAAATCCAAACCTAAACTTCAAGGGTTCAGGAAGTCTCTGTTCTTACAGATTTTGGCTCTAATTTTAAAGACAAACCATAATTCTGTTGGAGTTTGTTGAAGTGCAGATTCGTTCTTACTCCTTTTTTTGAGAAAGGAACTTAGAACATAGGCCAAATGTATCAGACCCATAAAACTCAGAATGATATTTTCATTTTAAGTAGTAACCATGGACAAATGAACACAGTTTTCCTTTTTTATTTTGAGACACTTAGCAAAAATGCTGAAATATCAAACATTTCCTCAGTAGCTACAATATTGCCACTATGTACAAAATATTTGATAAATGTAGTACACATATAAAAATACAGTATGCATTACATATATACAGTACAATGTGCAAAACATATGGCATTCAAACATATGGAATTGATTTTAGGGGTGCAAACAGCAAATACAAAGGCATCATGGTTCTAGAAAGGCAATACATAAACTGACGCCCTGATTGCCATAATTTGCATTTAGTAAAGTAGTGCTTAAATGAAGAGGGCCCCAGACACAGGTGTTTATCTTCTTCTTTTCACAAAATGAGATGCTAAGACATAATTATGACTATGAAAGTAAGAAGAGAAACACCTACTCGGGTTAGCGTTATTTCTACTGCAAGCAGTACTGTGAAGAAAATCCTATCAGGAAAAAAAGCCTGTGCTATTAGTTACTACAAATTCCTCAAACAACAAAAACAAATCTGTACTGTTAAACATCAAAAACAGCTTTGAAAATATCTACATCCTTAATTTAAAAAAGTACGGATAACACTTCTGGGGACTTAATTTCCTATGTTTTAAAATACAAAGTGCCTCCTTTGGCAATATAAATGGCAATGCTTTGGTTCCTATTTAAATTTTTATATTATTATAATTTATTTTAGGCTGTCTTTTGAATATCTGAGCTGTATAATTTTATAAAAATAGTGTGATTATATAGTTATTAACCATTCCCTGCTTTCTTTTTGAGAATTTGCTCTCATAGCTAGAATGGCTTTTTTTTGGCTAGATTTCTACAAATACATTTATGAACTTTTAACTTAAAAACACTTTCTATTCAGTATTGGACACTACAGAATGATGTAGGTGTCTCTTTTTTGCACTTTATTCCTAGCAAACCGGTATAAAAGGAATATTTGAGATTATTTCAGGTTTTAATGGATGCTCTTTATTGGCCATGTATGTACTATGTGTAACTCAGTTCCACAGATCTCACATAAAACACCTCCTGGGGTCTGGTCTAGAAGTCACTGAAAGGTGACTTCTTGGACCACAATACAAAGAGTTTCAACAGAACATTTATTAGAGATAAGTGGAAGATTTTTTTCCAGTTTTAATAGAGTTTGCTTTAAGTTTACAATACACTTAAGATGCCATCCAAATAATAACTGTTTACATTGGTGACCTTTCCTGTGTTTTGATTACATAATGCCCTTCCAGTTCAATGTATCCTGTAATTGCAGTTTCTCTGCCTTGAAAATAGTTCAGCAGCTTGTACTTGTGTTCTGATGACAGTGCCTACACTTTTGAGGCACCTGAATGCTTGAGATTATGTAACAGAAAAAGTTTAATATTGACACTTCTCTTTGGATCACCATCATCTCTGAACATGACTCTTGTTGGTGAATTTAGAAATACCTGGGAAATAAATGTCAGTATTAAGTAGTGTTCATTTCTAAAAGCTATGGCCTTAGCTTTCTAAAGTTCTGATTCTGCAGGTCTGCAAGCCCACATTGCTGGATTACACTTTAAATTTCTGTAGAGAACAACTGCCAAAAATTAATTTTATTGTCAGAGAGAGTATGACAATGCTTTTTTAACTATTTCTAAGGTTAAACAAAATTTTGCCTGTAAACTTCCTTGCTGTAACTGATGCTGAAGGGCACTGCAAGTGCGCAGCAAATTCCATTTCTCTACTGAACACAGGATGTGACTCCTCCTGAGTAACACCAGCCTAGGGAAACATTGTCTGAGCTCTCTCTGTCTAGATGTGTAAACAACCAACTTTTGATTTTCATACTGATTAAAAGGTATTCTTAATTACTTGGAAGAACCCACTAACACCACATTTGATAGGATGCATTCTGTTAGTATACTGCAGCCATTAAATGGCAAATTGAGTGCCAGTGCATTCCTTTGCAACTGTTCTCTTAATGAGAAAGATTCAGTTCTGTGCAGTCAAACTGCACAGGCACGATTAAATTTCTAAGATGTATTTGTGCTACAAAAATTTTCATGTAAAACATGCACACACAAAAGTCTAAGCAAAACCTATTTCTGCCATAAACAGGCATATACAACTATGGCAAACATATCACATTTCAGAACAAAGTCTAAAGCAAACCATTTTATATAAGGTTTAATACACAATTCTGAAATGTACAGAAAAGTAATCACACATTCCCTACACTAGAATATTTGTACTTCAGAAACTAAAATGATCCCTTAATTTTTATTTTTTTTTCAAATAGACGTTCAGAGCAGAAAGCTATACCGTACTGATAACAAGACATCCCAACTGTTTGGGTTTATTTCTGCACAAAGATTCCTATGGATTAATTAACATTCTACACTGCCAATAAGGGTAATTTTGTAGCAAGATGACTTTGCCAGTTTCAAGCTGTATTTACATGCACATCAAAAACAACAGTACAGTTGCTCTACGTTAATTTGTCCTCTAAAAATTAATTTACTTGCCTCTCATTTAATCAGGAGGCAGGGTCAAAAAGGGATAACTCTAACCACACATATATTGTATGATGTCTGGTGTATCACACATAATAAACCGACAGTACTGCAGAACACTAAATTTCATTCAGAGTTGTTCCTATCAGACCAAGAGTCCTTAATTCTTATTCTCGTAACAGCCGAGGGCACTTCGTATCTCAGAGTGTCAGCTCCCAAGATTGGATGATGAACAGGAATGCAAAAAGTTGAATGTGAAGTGTTCACTGTTATTCAAAAGTCCTATACCGTCAAAGCTTAAGGCAGACAGTCCCCATGTAATATTGTACTCAAGTATTGTAGGCACAGCAAGAAGGAATAAGGAATTCTGTCTTTCAACTGTGTGTAGTGAAAATCTCCAAAGATTGTTTCTTGTATTACTTTCATATTACAGTAATTCTTGGCCAGTAAAACCAGTGAAGGTACATAATGATTTAAAGTGCTGTAATTGATATGATGCAAACATATGGTATCAGTTCAAACCCTGAATCAGTGATGGAATCCATCATTTTATCTGAAGCCAATGGAACTCTGTCATATCAGTGAACCAGACTGTGTTATATCTGGAGATGCAAATTTTCAGTTAATTCTGTAACATTTTCTGACAAAACTATTTGTTTGATGTTAACATGATTGTGTTGTGTTTTAATTCTTGAAAAATGTGGTGAAGGTTGCTAAGTGGCTAACAGCTACTTACTGTTTTCAGTATTTCTTTGATACATAGCATTATTCTAAGAAGTAGGCAAAAGCTTTGGGACATTTTTTCATTCAAGCCTACAAAACTTTATTTTTGAAACTTGTAGGTGAGGAAATAACCATGCAATGAGATCAGTTTTCAGACTAGAAAACATGCACTATTTCTGCATTTCAGGAAACAGGGAGTGTTTCCTTTTATCTTAATTTAGGAATTCCCTAATAGGACATTCCAATTTTGTGTTTGATTATAAGCCTCCATCATCTATGGCAACATTTAACAGCTATTACCTGAGAGACAACCATAGAATGTCAAAGTATATTAGTTCTACTTGATTTTTTTGTTTTTCTTACTCCTTTCAAAATAGACTCTGAAAACAACAACTATGGGCTTTAAAACAACAAAAAAATATTCATGTGCTGTGCTGTGAGGTAAGAGCTTAATTTTTGCTATTCTCTGTTTCAGATATGCAGTGTGCCTTCTTATCACAAACAGTACATTCTGATCCTGGTGTTTAGGATTTGCACTGAGCAGCTTCTCTGTTGCTTTCCCTGGTGTTATGTAGTGGCAGACAAAGCTGTTCAACAGACAAAGTGTTCACTGAGAAATTATGGTTGTCCTGTCAGCACTGTCCCCTGCAACTTGATCTCATCCTACAAACATCTTTTATTGAGGGCACTGGGACTATTCTTGCATAGATGCTTGCAGGATTGTAGTACACAACACTATTAATTAAAACCTTTCTACTTCCTCAAACTTTTCTAGTATGCTGAGATACTGGATTCAATGATCTAACAAATATCCTCAAACACAAAGCAAAATAGGATATTTACTTCCATTATAATAATCTCTTGTTTGAAGACCACTGTGTTCCCCTCTGTTCACAAAAATAAGCTATATAAAGTTAAAAGAGTATACAAATAACTGTCTGATATACACATTAAAACCTAGCTATTAAATCCAGAGCATTGCTATAGAAAATTCAGTGTTCTCAATATTACCTGGCATTAGCTACAGTGGATTTCTTGCAGTTACACTTAATATCCCTTTGGATGCAGGTAAATTCCTCCCTCATGATTAAAGAATGGGGGAAGTGTTTTAAAATCCACAAAAGCAAAATATAAAAACAATTTGAACAAATTAAGAGACTAGAGATATGAAATTTCACTGAACCAGCCAGTGCTTCTATTTGCCTTTGCCCTCACAATCAGTTCTGAACCTGGCTCAGGCTTTCCACAGGAACAATGAAGTGCAGTGATACCTCCCCTCCCCCAGCCATTTGCTCACTGGGTCAATACAGAGAACTGACATCTCACTCTCAGTTTAGTCAGGTTGTGTTGCTCATTTAAGCATTACAAAGTCAGAGATGTAACTTCTCTCTCAAATATTTGTGATACCTTGGGGTACTTTTAATCACGAAGTACAATCATCCTTTCTTGACTTGTGAAATACAGCTTCCAGAGGGCCCTGATCTGCATTACTGATGTATGCATAAAGTGATTCACTGTTGTAAACTTGAAAATCAATAAGGAATTAGCTTCAAGCATTTGTTCTTCCCAACATTACTGTCTTAGTTTATGTTAACTGCAATCAGAATGGTTTAATAATGGACCTCTGCTGTAGAGAGACTTGCAGGTTGTGTTCTCATTGGCTGTAGCTTAATCCCAGTGCAACTGTAGATCTTGTGGATCTAGAAAGTCAGTGGAAAACACGCTCGGGGCAGCAGAACTGAGAGGGGTGAGTCCAGATGAGGAGCTGGGCATTGGAATGTCCAGCCATTCCATATTGTCCAAATTTGTATCGGGAAGGTCAAGAGACAGACAAGAATTATTAGCAGTAAACTGTGGGTCAGATGTTTCCATGGGTGAATGAGAGTGATCTAAAATGCTGGAGTGATTAAGCAGATCATTCTGGAGGTCTTCAATTAAAGAAAATGACTCTCTGTCCTCATTACTGCTTGTCAGTTGAGGAATTTCATTACCTGATGGTAAAGTTCCATCCAAGAGGGCTTCAAGTTGGTTTTCCAAACTGATGGACAAGCTGGTTGTTGGTTCTAAGGACACAGGAGGAGGGGCCATTTGGATCTGCGGAGGTGGACGGGATATCACGGTGTTCACTGGCATTGTAGTGATGTTGGCTGTTACTGGTCTCATTTTAGATATGGGAGATGGTTCTTCTTTTATTGGAAGGGAAATCTCTGCAATAAAAAAAGCCCACTATTGAATTCAAACAGATAATGACATAATATCCTCCCACAGAGAAATTCAGCCCATTTTGGGATTCATCCATAGTGAATTCAGTGCAGTAACAGTCACTGTGCTGCTCCACTCACATTCACATGTATCAGACTCTGGCATGGCCTCCATAACCACAGAGTATTTTAAACAAGTCCCAAAGTTCTGCTTTCAGGGACAGCTCAGCAAATTAGCATGAGTATTGATGAAAAAAGGAATGTATCTCTAGATGTTACCTTAACCTCCTTCATGTTTATAGTTCTTCTCATTAACTGGAATAATTATGGAACTAACACATTTCCTTGTACAGAACCAATTTTCAGTTTCATCCCTGTTTACTACTGTCCACATTGGTTAATTAAGAGCCCATGAGATGAAATGATGTGATTAAGAAGCATTTATTCTCAATTCTAGAATCTAAAACTACACTTCTGTCAAGAAGTTCCATATAAGACAGTGGCAGTAACAATAAGGGGAAATAAAGCCTAAATTCCAATTTATTCTTAGGCATGAATGAAGCCCAGAAACAAGACAGAGAAATATGCAAATAAATCCTCTAGCACAAGTGATGTTCCTAGCAGAAAAAATATACCTGACAATATATTTTGTGCTGGTTTTCCAAGCAAAAACCCACAGCCTTCTCACTCTCCTGAAGTACATTAGTAAATGAAACATTTTTCAGTGCAGAGCTTACTTACATTAATTGCAACAGCCCTGAATGCTTTACTTTGTTTTTTTCATAAAGATGATCATTAATTTAGCTTGAGTTGTTGAATACTCAAGTTACTTATCTCAGTCTACTCATATTTTCTGCAGGTGACCTTGCAATTTGCATTGAAAAAGAAAAAAAATACTCTGATATTTAGAATATGGCTGAAGTGTTCCAGTAGCCCAGAACCAGTCCCTCTGCCCTGGCACTCCCTCCTGTCAGGATCCTTCCATGACAGCAGTTACAATCCATTCCTTAATGGAATCACTGGGCACCACAACATCTCTCACTTCTGTAATGGCTTCTTGGGCTCCTAAGCCTGATTATGGCTGGAAGCCTCTTCCTTTTACTGCTGAGCTCCTCTGTTTATTACTTTAGTTTTATCAGTGCCTTGCTGATAGCTCCCTTATTTTAACTGACATCAAGTTGTTATTCATGAATGTCTCCATGTAGTTCATGCACCCTTTTCCCAGTAATGTATCTTTGATGTTTATAGTTGATAACACATGGTTATAGTTAATGAAATTTTACTATCAACATGCTTGAACTCTTACCTTACTCTATTCTTTGTATAATTTCAATAAACATGTTATGGACTTGCTCAACCTTTCTGATTTTGATAAAGTATGTCTGTGCTAACCTAAGGTGTTATTTTAATCATTTGAATGCTGTAGAGATTATTGTACAGGTCTGCCTGAGCTAATTTGCAACCATGAAGTTCCACAGCAGGTTGACTGTATGTGTTTTGGTAAATGTTTTTTTTAATAAGGAACCAAGCAAACTTTCAAAAATTTAGTTTCATTCAGGCTCGCTAGATTCTAACTCCTGTTCCTAAAAGAATTCTCATTTGATGATAGCAGTGAGTTTTTATTATCAGGTTTTAAATCTTTCCATCACACAGCTGTCAATGAGCTTACCTCCACTCTTGATGAGAATATCAAAAAGATCATCCATCTGCTGACTGTGTGCACTGGAAATCTGTAGTGCAGGAGAACAGGGTTATTCTCTTTCATGTGGGATTTTTTCCTATGCTTATTTTTCCTAGTTTTTATCAACAGTATGTAAGTACTAACCTATAATAATGACTAAAATCCTTAATAGGAAATTGTCTAGCTAGAAAACAGATACTTTGGAGAGACATTTGCAATCTCTGTAGTTGGTTTCAGTACAAAGCAATAAGGAAAAAGCATGGCAAAGACTTCATGAAGGCAACCTAGGAGAGAGGTGCAGGAAGCCAGGGACCAGGAGAGTTACCAACCCCATTTTGTACAGGATAGCAACAACTGCAGCACTTTGGGCTTGCAAACCCTGCTCTGCTGTCTCTCAGAGACAGCCTGTAAATGTCCATCATGCAAGATGCATTCTATTAGGTGTCTTTGGGGTTTCTTCCCAATTTGTAGATTTATATTCTTTTATTTTTTAAGGGGGAGGGGGTAAGCTTTCAGGAACTGCTCATCTTTGTTGTAAACAGCCATCCCCTAAATAACTGAACCTTAAGCAAAAGGTAAGAAAACCTCCCACAAACCCACTCATTCAAAAAGTCTAGAAAAAGTGGAGACTTCCATGAAGTTCTGAAGAAGTGTTTTAAACCATTGCTTGTACTCCAGGGATGGAAGTGATTTGTCATCAGGAGATCCAGTGGGGAGTCCCTGCCTGACTGGTAGGGACAGAGTGACCTAAGACAACCTGTGTGCCCTCCCTGTGGGCATGTCCCACATGTGCCAAGGACACAGGAAAGGGCATTGGGCACCCACTGCTGTGCCTCACATCTGCCACCACAAAATCCCAACCAACACAAGGGGCTACAAGGTTTTCTCTTTTGAAATTCTTTTTTGCATTCTGAAACGCACAACATTAGGAATACTCATTATTACTCATTCTGGCAGAGCACTACACAGGATTATTCACCAAGATCACTCAATACAGACTCTTTTCCAGCAAGCACCTATGCTCGTGTTTGCCTGTGTGTATAAACACATTCACACACATTCTCCTCACGTTTACTCACTTTGGAAAATACAAACATATTCCCTCTCTTAAGTGTGAGGTTTGGGTATCCCACATTCTCAGAACAAGTCATCTGAAGGCCAGTTACTGTTAGTACCAGCAGCATTATCCCAACTAGATGTATCACACACTGGGAACTGTAAGACTTATTTACATATATGCTGCTTTAATAATAGAATAACGAAACAGGAGTCCTGTAGTTAAACACAGTTATGAAACCAGTGACAGGGTATGTTAGAAAATCTTGACACCAAACAAAAAAAAATCAAAACCTAAACCAAGCAATGGTTTTGGTAATTACAGAGAAAAGCTTTGTTTTTAAGAGCCTGAAGAAAGCAAGTACCTCACGCTGGGCCGGCTGAATGCTGCGGGTCTGTTTGATGGCCTCTTCGTAACGAGGAGGATCTTTTGTCTTGGACACTGTGTTGTTGAACAGGGGCTGCTGAACAATGTAAGGCTGGGCTTGAGATGGAGACCCAGGCTGCAAGAAATAACAAAATAATGACTAAATAATGTGATTTAGTGAACTGAGGATGTATCAAGCTCTACAGATTATTCTATTTTATCACATCAGTCCCCTTATTAATGTAATCAGAGGATAAAATAAAATAAGTTTATTTCTCCCTCTAATACATATGCACATATCAGCATTATTTTAATCTACAAAACATTCTTTCTTGAGTGAACTGCCAAATGTAAATAGTCACATAATATATAAGAATAATAATAATGTAAACATGAACTTTATGGAAGATTGTTAGGATATCCTTACCTTGTTGGGAGCAGCAGGTCCATTCTGCACAGAAGGAACCTGGTTACCACCAGGGTGAATGTTAGAGTTTGATGTTTTGTTAATAAAAGATTGTGAAGGTGTTGAAACTGGTGCAGTCTGATAGGAAAATACTGCATTTGATGTGGCAGGTGGAAAAACCTGAAAAGGATTAACAGATCAGTCTCAGATTGTGGGTTTTTTATTTTAAAGAAAGGTAACACTGGATATATTACATTAATGAAATAGAAGACCTTTGTTTTAAAAATACTTGCTTGCTTAAATTCCCTATTAAGTGAATGTTATTTATACTGATTTTTCCTTTAAGTGGAATAATTTTTAATTTCAGAACAGTTAGTTTCTGAAAGAAACTTTGTGCTCTGACATACTTTCTTTCATCACTCATTACTAAAACCATTTTCCTGCAATTTTCCAGGAAGCATGAGGAAAGTGTGTGGAACAGTTCAATAGCATATCCATGATTTCCCCATCTAGTGGACAGTCAATAACATGAGCTTATTTCTGGCCTGACACAAACTGTACACAATTTGCCCTCTCCTGCCAGTTTTAAGGCACAATGGTTTGTCTGTCATATAATTCTAATTTTTTTTGGAAAGTAACTACAGGCATCTATGAGAACTGAGGGAGAGGCAAAAGATAAAACTGATGAACTGGGTATCAACTCTAAGTTTGGTTACTGGTATATGAAAGTTTTTATTTCTTCAACTGGTAGTCCACATACTCATTGCAAATGATTCCCAGCAGAATGCTGTTTCTCATACTTCTGAGTTGCAGGGAGATTAAGAGAAGCTATGAATGTGTCAGCATGTAAGGCTGCTGTAAATTCAGCATCACTCCCAAATACCTTTATAACAAAGGTGACAAATCTTAGGTCATGGATGTAGATCTAATGCTGAATGCATGAGGGGTGTCCTGATCTGTTGTACCCCATCAATATTTTCATTTTGATGTTAAAACCAATGCAACAGCAGGCTGCAAACTCTGCTGGGAACTGTGGTCTTCATGACAACTGATCTGAATAGCGGGGAGGACTGGAGGGTACAGATCTTGATTATGTCCTACAGACATTTCAGGGAGCTTGGAGGCAGCAATGGCAGCAAGCTGCCAGTCTCTGGTACAGGTACATGCCTCAGGATGACTGGAAAATTTCTCTATAGGACCTGTTACATTAACATGCTAAGATTAGCCCCTCACCAAAGCCCAGAGAAGTTGCATTAAATCTGCTTTTTGGATGTATGTCAGTTTTGACTCTTGGAGGATAACCTCAATGTCCTCAGTGTCCATGAAATTACATAGACTGAACAAGCAGTGTGAAGAGTACTGATGCTCTTTCAGCTGTGTCCCCCTTTATTACCCAGCTCTCTAGAGAATGGCAATGCACAATTGTACATCCTCTAAGTTAAGTTCTTATCTGCAACAAGAGCCCAAGCACAGGCAGATAAGGTTACTCAGGGACAATCCCCAAATCACAGCAGAACATGGGGCTCATGATGCACTTTTGTAAACTGAAATAAGAACTTTGAAGGCTGAGATGTAACAGTTACATAATATACTGTAAAAATGACCCTCTTCATCTTGGAATTTGAGTTGTTTCTGAATTATCTGTCCCTAGGGGCAGGCTGAAAAACCTTGCTGTCCACCGATAAGGATGCAATAAAGGTCCAAAACTAATGTCCACATGCCTAATAACAGGGGTCAGTCTAGAAGAGGCTCAGAGGAGGAGAAAGCCTTTTTTTTGTGATGACTGGTGCTGATGGGTTGGTATCAGTTCCCATATGAACATGACTGCAGTGGCAGTCACAAGTGTACATCCAGTGCTGAGAACATGTGTTGGAATGGGACATTACAGAGCTGATTGTTTTTGGTAGAAGGAAGAGAAGGATCTCTCTGAACCATCCCCTGCATTCCTTAGGAAGAGTATGGCAGGGTTTGGACTCACTGGAATTACCATCCACAGTATCTGAGTCCTTCATAAGGAGGGATGAGATCAACAAGGAAAGTCAGAACACCAGAATTAACTTCTATAAAAGAATAAATCTTTGAAGTCCTAAGTAAAAGCTTTCTCTTAAGAACTGCCTATGAAAATCTCACATTTAGAGCCAGTGGCAAATCAGAGAAGCTGACTGGAATATACCTGGCACACACCACTTGTGCCAAGCGTGAGGAAGGATGCAGTAGGAGTCATGGCCTAAGTGTACCATTAAGATAAAAAGTCTTTAGACTATGTATATATCTGCAACTGAAAAATAAAGTCCTGCACAGACTAAAAATTTGGGAAAAGAAGGAGTTACAAGCCCATTGTATCACACAGAAAAATATGGTACAGATGTTAGGTGACTTGATCATTTGTATATAACACAAAAATGATTCTCAAAGCACTGCCTAGAACTAGATCATACAACTATTTATCTTCATGTTTATTGCTATCCACAAACCTTTCTGATTTGTTGGCTCTGACCAAGTGCGTGCTGCGTGATGGTATTTTGTTTTGGTTGTGGAGCATGCATCTGAGGTGCTGTCTGCACCAGGCCAGAGGAAGAAATAGGAGCAGGTATTTGTGATGGGGTCTGTATTCCAGCTTGTGATTGAGCCTAAAGGATGAAGACAAAATATTTGAATTATTTGTATCTTACACTAAGTTACATAATCTATTGCACACCTTATGCAGAATAGCAGTAACATGTATTCTGGGAGGGATGAGTGGGAACTGTACAGGAAACCAAACTGTTACTGTGTTTGGTACTGGGGAGTTCCCAGCTAAAAGGTGATGTTTATTTTGCCAACAGAGTTTAAGACAAAGACAAACTGGAGAGAGCCCAGCGGAAATGCTAAAAATAACAGGGCACAGAGAGAGCAGATATCAGTAAGAAAGGACTGTAAGAACTGGCTTGAGTAATTAGAAGACAAAACTGATAATGCAAGAAAAAGGTTGCTTTTAAGACCATGGTAATTTTTCATGGCCAGTGAAAGGCAAGAAGTATGTCCAACTCATTAAAAACAATTTTAAGTGATAGTGAAAAACTTTCTGGAGTATAAATGAAGTAAAATGCCAGGACAAGCAGCTTAAGGTTGTGACAGAATTCTAGTAGGATTTTAGAACAATTCATGTGGAG